TGCACTTTATTTCACGAGTCTCATGTATCTTGAAGATATTTTTTGTTAAGTAGTGACATTCTCAAGTATTCCAGTCCCCCTTTTAAAGGTAGTGGACAGAACATGGAGACTAGGTGACATGCATTGTCACCTAGTTGGTGACTCACCCACTTGCCTGGAAGAGGGAACCATTTTCTCTATCCATTCAGACAAACTTTTTTTTCCTTCTGTTTTCGCCCTGAGCCTTGTTTCCACTGTCTAATACATTTAGATGCTTTAGGCATGCGTGCACACACACACACACACACACACACACACACACCCTTTTACATCATTGCAGCATTATCCTTGACTTTTTTTTTTTTAACATTTAATTAGCATTTGTACCAGGTCAATGCTAGTTTCCCTGTTATGCAAACCCACACCCATGCTAAGAGTCTCTAAGGTTAGGAACACAGTGATGATATGACTATTTGGTTTCGGTGTTTGTGTACAAGGAGCCCCAGGTCATTTCCAGAGAAAATGAAAGATTCTGAGGACAGCCTCACCATTGAAAATGACAGGTCTTTTTTTCTTTTTTCTTTTTTTTTTTTTTGGTGACGAAGAAAAAGAGCAACCATGATAAAGGGTCAAGGGAATATGGAATATCAAAAATAGACAATGAATCATCTCTCCGTTCAGTCAAGAGAGTTGTAAAGCTAAATCTGGAGTGCACTGAAGAAGTGGCTTTATGAGAACTCTAGATGCTTAGGGAGAGGGAGTACACCCAGATGAGGAGACATATTATCTTGATGACAGCTCCTTGAAATTTAGATATTTGTGTAAAACTCCCCCAATTCCAAGAGCTGCTTCTGTGACTTCTGCAAATTTCCTCAGGGCGAGAGCTCCCATGAGCTCCTCTGCTTCTGGGATCCTGTGTCCCTACTTCTGCTCCTGCTAAGCACAGAGATGATTTTCACCCCTTCCCAGATTCCCACCAAACATCTCCTCCCATCCTAAGAGATGCATGGATGGGACCCAGCGTATGGGTGGGGCTGGGGAATGGTTTAATAGGGTTTACATTGAAGCAGTACAAACACTTCCAAATAAAACTTTAAGAAGGCCCAACTTAAATACTTAAATATCCTTTATTGTACACAGACAACCTCCTCCCCTGAGCCCCACCCTGCCCCAGAAATCCCAGGGGCATTTTCATTTGCCCTTTCAGCCATGTAGTTCCTGAACACTTACATTGTCACTGTTTCCCTTTTGGGCACCAGTCTCATCCCACTACCTGCGCTCTCCTCACAAGCAAAAACAACTATTTTTTGCTTTCTCAAGCTGACAGAGAGAGCCCTTTCTTAGATGCCCATGCCCTCACTTTCTATCCCAAGGAGCTGACAGTGGGTTTTCCCTAAACAGTGGGATTCTGGGGCCATCTCATTACAGATAGACTCTCACCCATGTCACAGTTTTGCCCAGGACTACTCACGGCTTCTTCTCTCTCAGAGGCATTGCCACTTAGAGACCAACTTTGTGAAAAATTATTATCAAATTCAGGTGCTCAGTTAGAGTGAGTCTTTCTCTATTCTCCTAAAAATTTGAAACTTTATTGAATTAGATGAAAAAATTAGGATATGAAAGCTTGCCCCCTCCTGCCCTCCCCACCCCCAGTGAATCTGTTATCTCCACTGAGACCACTCACTGCCTTGTAGCAGCATAACAAGGGGGTTAAGAGACCAATTGGCTCCACTCCTTTTTTAAAAAATAAATTGCTGCACACTGGCTTTCTCTAGTTTCAGCGAATGGGGGCCACTCTTTGTTGTGGTGCGTGGGCTTCTCATTGCAGTGGCTTCTCTTGTTGCAGAGCACAGGCTCTAGGCATGCGGGCTTCAGTAGTTGTGGCTTGCGGGCTCTAGAGCACAGGCTCAGCGGCCATGGCTCACGGGCTTAGTTGCTCCGCGGCATGTGGGATCTTCCTGGACCAGGGCTCAAACCCGTGTCCCCTGCACTGGCAGGCAGATTCTTAACCACTGTGCCACCAGGGAAGCCCCTGGTTCCACTCAATCTCTGAGTTCCTCAGTTTCCTCATCTGTGAAATAGTAGAACCACCTTGTTATACAGGCAAAATGAGTTAACATGTACGGAGCATTTTGAAAAATACTTGACACCTGTAAATGTGAGCTGGTTTTGTTTGAACTTGGCCAGATGACAAAGGCTAGGGAAGGGCTCGGCAGAGCACAGACAGATGGTGGCAACAGAGCTCATTCTGCAGAAGTTTTCCCCATGGGAGGCAGAAGAGATTGTTGATGTTGCTATTGTAAGAGTTTGGAAAACTCTACTCAGGAATTAGTCCTTTTGGCAGGCTTTTGGCTATAAACTTTTGTAGGTGGAAATCCTAAAGAAAAGCTAGGTGTCTCTCTGGCCCCAGTATTTCACAACCATCTGGGCTTTTTTTCTGGATAAGGCTTTATTTCATGAGCAAATCTGGGTATTTTCACAAGTAGACCCTAGTTTCCATTGAAATGGATTTCTGTTGCTCTCATGTAATATTCCTACATTTTCTGAACAAAGTGCACTTAAAAGTCTCTGAGGGAAAAAATAAAAAGAATGAATTGCATATGCTTAACATAGGGCTTGCTCACTGTCCTTCTGAAGAATCCCTATCTTATAATCTCATATCCATAAAGTGCCTTGTATATAGCACATGCTCAATAATTACCAGTTGGTTTGATTTTAATCATTAAAGAAAAAAACAACACTGAAAGATCATTTTAAAAGACTGGCAATTTCCACACAGGTTTAGCAGCAGCAACAGCAATTTAGATAAGTTTTCCATCCAATTCTAAAGGGACTTAATCACTTGGGTTTGTATGTTAATTTGCTGCACTTTAACCACATAGGAGTCTTAGATCTGGGAGTAACCAAGGAGAAAAGAATATACTTGTTCTCATTTTCAAGTGTCCTAGGATAAATTGCATTCTACTCACTGGTGCCAGAAAAAATAAATACAGACCATAACAGTAAAAATATTCATTATTTGTGAAGAAGAAAGAAGCAAAAAACAAAAGAAAAAACCCATGATGCCGGGAAACCGCAGAGAGAAATTTTCAAAGCATACCAGGATCATCAAGTTACACAATTCTAGGAGCTCTATTTGCAAAAACTATGTGAAATGTCACCTGGAATTGCTCAAAAGGTGGCCTTGAAGAACACCTTTGGTGTCTACAATTTTAAGTGACTTGCATTATGGTCACAAATGGGTCATTCATTTTCTGTTTACATGGGGTGATCACATTTGAAAGGATAAGAACAACACTTTTTGAGTACTTACTATGTGCACAGTATAGCCTAAGTTTACGCATATTAATTCATTTGATTTAAAGATAAAAAACATGAGATAGGTACTCTTATGTCCATTTTAAAGATGAGAAACCTGAAGCCAGAAATGTAACTCACCCAAGGTTATACAGTTACTAAGTAGTGGAGAAAGGGTTCAAATGTATTTGGTCAGGTTGTTCTAGGGTCTGAGGTTCTACAATGCTGCCTTATTTATCTGGCCTTAGTCCCTGCCAGGGCACCTTGGTATTCATGGCTATTATGGCTGATGCCAACATTTTCTGGCTGGGTACACTGAGCATGAGCTTTTTTTTTTCTTTTGGGGGGCGGGTACGCAGGCCTCTCACTGTTGTGGCCTCTCCCGTTGCAGAGCACAGGCTCCGGATGCGCAGGCTCAGCGGCCATGGCTCACGGGCCCAGCCGCTCCGCGGCATATGGGATCTTCCCAGACCGGGGCACGAACCCATGTCCCCTGCATCGGCAGGCGAACTCAACCACTGCGCCACCAGGGAAGCCCCAGCATGAGCTTTTTGATTAGAATTTTAGAGAGAATATGCAAGAGACTCATCTCTTCCCTAAGCCTATGGGGATGTCTGACTGATTACAGAGACCTCCGAAAAGCCACTCACTGAACAAATTCAGAAAAATTGGATGTCAAACCTTCTGAACATCCCACTGGGAATTCATGGAAACCAGGGACAAAAAGTCTTCCTACTTAAGTGGTGAGAGTGGGGGACTCTCTTAAGGCCTGGAGTGCTTCTTGTCTCCAGCAGGAAGAAAGTGAGCCAATGTCTACATGGTCTTCTCTAAGTAGGAGGACCCAGATGCTTTTGGACTCTAGCAGGAGGCCTCATTCATACCCTGGATTTTAAGACATCATAGCCCATGTCTCATCTCCCATGTCTCCTTTGTGGGGAAATTAGAAAAAATCACCATGATTGTTAGGTGTTTTGAGTTTTTAAGTTGGATGCGTCCTTGTGAATGTAAGGCAGTCATTTTCCTTTAAAGTCATTTGATTATTCCCAGATCAGCAATTCTGTCTCATGACAAAATCTTTGATAGTCACTTTTTATCTTTGAAGAGAATAATTTCCAAAAGAAAGTAGGTGAGTGAATTACCATAAGAGGATAGACAGTTGGCCCTCTGTATTCACAGGTTCCCCATCCTTGGATTCAACCAACTGCAGATCAAAAATATTTGGAAAAAAATTCCAGAAGCTTCCAAAAGGCAAATCTTGAACTTGCCGCAATCCAGCAACTATTTACCTAGCATTTACATTGTATTTACAACTATTTACATAGCATTTACATTGTACTAAGTATTATAAGTAATCTAGAGATGATTTTAGTGTATGCAGGAAGATGTACATAGGTTATATGCAAATACTGCACCATTTAATATATAAAGGACTTGAATGCTTGAGCATCTGTGGATTTTAGTATTCAGTAGGGGGGCAGTCCTGGAACCAATTCCCTGCAGATACTGAGGGATGACTACAAAATATTTGGGATTACGAGATGGTTATTTTAGGCAAAAGGAATAGGGAAGTCAAAAAAGAAAAGAAAGGGAGATTTTAGTTTTCTCAAAAACTAACAAAGTCCCACTTTAGGCAGTATCAGGTTAGAGCAGTTCTGAAAGGATTACCTGGCCCTCAACCCTTGGGAATTCTCAGCTCTGTGGTGTTTGCTTTTGTCTCCCAGCAGAGGTGTGGTATGAAGGGGTCACACAGAAGGTGAGCAAGACGTGGAATGCTTCACTTCCCCACAGTAAAGTAACACTCTTCAGTCAAACCAGGTGAGGTGAAATAACTGGATATTCTCCTTGAAGCTAATACATTTCTATCAGATACTTCTTCAACAATTCTTATTCCCTGACTGGAGCATTCTTTGCTGATACCAATTATAGGAGGATGGAAGTAGTCAAAACACCTCCAAAAAAGAAAATGGCAAAGAAATAGAATGATATTTTATGTTGTCTACAAAAGAGATAATTCATAGTACACTATCTATACTTGAATGAGTTAGAGATTTGCAGCTTGGTCTAATAAAGAAATAACATGGTAAGCTTTTAGTTTTTCTTTTTAAATCAGATTGGCTTAACAAGCATTGCTGGTGTAGAGCCAACTGAGGATATTTGAGGGAAAACAACTGTTTAGGAAATCAGGCAATGAGGCTGAATAGATTCTAAGCCAATCTGAGTCTCAGTTCCCTAGTGTATGAAATAGACTGGACTAAATTATCTCTAAGAACAATTCTTGCTCTGAAAACTCCTTGGCTATTTGTTAATTTATAAACATATACTACACAGTTAGTCACTGTGAACAAAAGCAATTGAACAGTATTATTTGTATTTCACTGAATCTGCTGTGAGAAACTGTCCTTGGCTTGTAGACAAAATACAGGAATAAGGGACTTTGAACACAAGCAGTATATATAGGCAATGAAAGATAAGACACCAAAACTTTCTTGAAGCTCTCCTGCATTGCCTATCTACCTTATTAGAACTTTCTTAATGGCTATTTATCCTTTAGAAGTTCTCATGTGAATTACCAGCTACCTGTAAAAATAAATCATCATTTATTTCCAGTGCAACTTTTATTTCCTCCTTGAAGATGAATGCAGAAACTCAAAGAAACAAGGAAATTGGGACTACTTGGAGTTGCCAATGTAATCAAACTCCCCTCAATAAAAGAAAACCTGTATGTTCTGAAAGGATTATATTAGTGGGCTGACAAGTTCTTGAACATAAGAATCCACTTAAGCAGATCTACGTAGAGTGGAGTCTGTTGCTGAAAGGAATTGGCTCACTCAACACTTTCACTCCTACCTAGTACACCTCCTACTCTTGCCGCACGCTTTTACCTTTTTTTTTTTTTTTGAGGCTTCTCCAGTTCTCGTTAGGTTTCAAATAAAGTTTGGCATCCTCATCCAACAGTTAGTGCTGAGCATAACTAGAAGACAGTCTGTTCCACTGGAAAGAACATGGGCTTTGTAGTAAAATAGATCTCCCTTTGAGCTCTTTGCTAGTTTTATTAGCTAGGTGATTTGGGGCAAATTATGGGCCCTCTCTGAGTTCAGTTTCCTCTCTAAATAACTGGAAGGATAGCATTAACTTTTCAGGGTTATTATGAATAATAATAATTTAATGTAAGTGAAGTATTTAGTATCATAATAACATTAAATAAATGAACTAATTGTAACTAAAATTAAGAAAGTAACTTTGATAGGATTTTTGAGTGAACATATAATCTGATCGTGTTGCTTCCTACTTTTAAATTTTAATGAGCCCGCCTTGCTCTGAAAATTCCAAGCTTCTTCATATAGCTTATAATGTCCTTCCTGCTCTGATTCTGACCTCTCTTGTCCTGTTATCTGTCCCCACACCTTTCACTGCACTCTGCTCCAACCCTACTGAGGGCTTTGTTGTGGCTCTTGTATCATGCCCAGAGAAAATTCATTCTTCTGCCTGAAACTCATGTTTCCCTCCTTGACCTACAGCTAACTCTTAGCCAACTCTCAGCTTCGTTTAGTCAATGCTACATCCAATGTCTTCAACAGACTTCCTCAACCAGCCTAAATTATGAGTTGCCATAACATCCTGCATTTTTTCTGTCTTAGTACTTACCACGCTGTCCTTGGATTTCCTAGTCAGGTAACTGTGTCGTCCTTACACTGAGTTCATTGAGAACTGGATTGTGTCTGTCTTGTTATCTCACCATAGCCTAGCAACATGCCTGGCACATACTATGCAATCACTAAGTAAGTCACAGTAGACAAATAAACGAATGTAGTCTTTCAATTTCATTTCTCCCTGTTGCCAGTTAACACAACTTTGGACATCCATGAGAAAGATGAACTTCCTGTTTCCTGCTTACTACTCCCTGTTCTAATAGGAAAGGAACATGTGGATTAGTCAGGATGCTTAATTGTTAAGGGAAATTCTGCTGATTGGCGCAAAACTGGTTAAGATATTCTGTCTCAAGAGGTCAGTCTTGGAGAAACAGGCTTGATCAGTAGAAAGAGGTGATTTTTTTGTAAAGTTAATTATTAAAAATATGTAGTGTACTGCACATATGGTGTGATTCCAATTACATAAATATATGTATTCATACTTATGCAAAGGAAAAATACCAGAAAGAAAAGGAAAGTTTCAGTTAGGAATCTCTAGGTGTTTTTATTTTCTTCCTCATGTTTTTCTGTATAGTCAAATGTGCCGCAATGCCCATGCATTAATGACATAATTTTAAAAGGATTAATGCAGATAAAATCTTTGAAAAGAGACTTGTTTTTATTTGTGCTAGATACAAGAAGAGAATTCTAGGAAGCTACTAATTTTTTTGCTCACCTATATCTATTACTTGCTTAAGTCACTATTTCTCACGGATGTTAGACTCTCCCAGGCTTTACACTATCCCCTCTACCTAGAACCCCTGTCAGGTAATGTACATTTCACTATGTCTTCAGAATTCACTTCCTTTGCAAAGTCTTTCCAGATAAGACACTTGTCAAATGAGAAAGGTCTTCCTTCCCCTTCAAGGGAAATCCTGTAGCAATTATTCTCAGGTCTATTTTCTCTATTCCTTTACTGTTTTCTTAGTTTTTTTGTTGTTGTGGTTGTTCCCTAATTTCCCAATTATATTTCTCGCTCCCTAAAGTTAGAAGCTTGCTTTTCACAGATTTAATGGTTTTTAGGATGACACTGGTTACACAGAAGATTCTTCCAAAATACTATTGATGTAATGAATATTGCATAAGAAGATGCATTCTGCAACAACTTAGCAAGTAAGAGTGCAGGTCCATCAATTCCCGGGATATAGGTGATCGGTTCCTGACATTTTAGGCCATTACGGGATTTGGATCTCTAGTATGTCCTCTTTTAAATTTTAATTTTTCCCCAATATGTTCTTATATCAAGTGCAATGAATGACAAATTTTTAATTAGGAAAACAAAGTTTTCCTTTCTTCTAAAAAAACCAAAATTACCTAGCTTTGGAAATCATTGAGAAGTTGTATCTGTAAAGTATGTTGTCTTTAAAGACAAATGAAAAATACAATCAAATGATAATGTTATGTTACTAGATCGTTAATGGTTCTTACCTGTCCACTAAAGGAAATTTTAAAAGGATGCATGAATAACTTTGAAATAATCACAGCAAACTTCCTGCTCAATATTATGACAAGAATTGTTTAAAAATGAGAAAGTCAGTAAAGATTTCTTCCTTTTAAGAAACTCCAATTTGTTGGAACTATGAAATTAAGGTAGATCTTTTAAAACTGTATGAAGTTTAATGTATTAAGGTTTTGTACATCATCAGCTATCGTGTATCATCAGATCGATATGTTTTGCTGATTGGTGTTGCTTGTCAACAATTCCCCTAGTTCATACCAATTGCTCTTGAAAAGAATAAAAATCAATTTTTAGTATTACCAGGAAGAGAAGTTCTCAGTTTTAGGAACCTCTCCCCCTGCCAACCCTGCCCCAAGGAGGAAAGAAAGCATTTCATGGATATCTGAAAATGGTCAACCAGCTACCTCCAGAACCCTTTGGAAATGATCAGCATTCCTTGGTGCTGGACCTGGAGTCCTGAACTAACCCAAAAAGACAGGATCATATTTTCTGAGTCTTAATATGCTCTTTTACCTGAGCAAACCTGCAAGAATAGGAAAGGAAGGAAGTTGATGCCAGTACTCTGACCCTCTATAACACCTCAAGGTTCTGGGACTTGCAAAGATTCAGAGTAAAAGTGCATTGTGCCCTGCACATAGTAGACATATCACTGTTTGTTTATGTCATACTTTAATAATTGAAATGCCAGCCACAGGAATCCAGCTAATGCTTACTTCACTGCAGCATGAGGTTACATTCAGCAACACCACTCAGAATAACCGGGAGAAGACAAAGGAAAATGGTATGACAGTAACGTCAAAGGCTCTGATTTCTAGATATAGTTGTGCTCTGAGTTTTTTATGTTTGCCCTTTTCCCACTGAAAAATGGGAATACCCTTTTCACTGACCATTGGAATGTTGAGGAGACAATAAGTTAGTAACTGGAAAGAATTTGTGGTGAAAGGTGCTATGTGAGTTCATGGTATTTGTTAATGTTATTACTCAATCAGTTCTGGCCCAATGTGGAAACAGAAGCAACTTCTATTACAAACAACGTAAGTTGCTAAAATAACCTTGGGAAAGAGAGAATAAATGAATCTACAAAGACAAATAGGTACCAGCTGGATTATTGAGACCTCATGTTGAGGCTGCAGGCTTTTAACACTAAAAACAATGTCCTTTTAATTTCAAGGAAGAATCATTTGGGGAAGAAAAGTAGGCAACCTATTAATAAATGAAAGAGTGACATTTCTAGGTGCGTATTAACAAATATGTTTATAAAAACAATTTCTATTACAAGACCGTACTAAGCAGGAGTCTCCTTTAGCAGATTTTTAAAAATGGGGTATGTAACGGAAGGTCCATGTGTGAACTCTGGAAATACTCAGGACTTAACCACACTTCAGCAGGGTCATTAGGGTCTTAGAAACAGTACAAAGGGAAATATATATATATATTAATTTAATTTATTAAAATTTGTATTAAAATTTATAAATATTAATATATATGTAAATTCGAACTGACAACAGCTATGACTTTACCATCTGCCTTTAAGCTTCTTCCAGTCAATTTCTAAAGGATAGAATGCTATTTTTCCTGCCCATGGATAGCTATTAATCCTGGGGTAGAGCCATCAGAAACGTCTCATCCCCACTCCTAATATTTCCTTCCGTGTAGAGGGATCTACATTAGCATAGTGATGCTGACGTCTTTGCCCTCGTGGGAAGAAGGAATCAGTTAATTTTATTGAGCCCCTTTATCTCCTCATTCTCCTGGGAGTGGGGTGCCTACAGAAAGCACACATTACACATTCCTATTTCAGACCCCAAGTTTTAAAGGAGGACTATGTTTCCAGTGCTGGGAAGAGGGCAGGTAAGTCTCTCTAAATCTGAGGTTCAGCATTCGTAAACTCATTCTCCAAAATCAGCTTTACTGGTAAGAAAATTGATAATGTTCTCTATCCTACTGTCTTATTTTTCAGGGGCTCAGAATCAGCTAAGGAAAGAGATGCCCCTAGCCTTGAGCTCCCTACTGACCCAACAACCCAAATTACACTGGGAGTTACACCTGCCTTTTCTAGGCTAACGGAAAGAAAGACAAACCTAGGTCTCCAGAGGCTTGGGAATAATGATCATAGATATAAACTCACCAAAGTTAAACTCAGCCATTAAAAAATGGACTTTGGGTTTTTTTCCTTTGGCTGTTGTCAAATCACCACAAATTAAGTGACTTAAAAGCACAGAAATGTATCCTCCCACCGATCTAGAGGACAGAAGTCCAAAATCACAGCAGGGCCATGCTCCCTCTCGATGCTCTAAGTAGAATCTGGTCCTTGGCTCTCCCAGCTTCTGGTGTCTGCCTGCGTTCCCTGGCTGTGGCTGCATCCCTCCAACCTGCCTCTGTGATCACATTGCCTCCTCTTCTTTGTGTGTCAAATCTCCCTCTGCCTCCCACTTATAAGGATATATGCAACCGCATTTAGGGCCCACTTTGATAACCTGGGATAATCTCATCTCAAAATCCTTAATCACACCTACAAAGACCACTTTTCTACTTAAGGTAACATTTATAGACCCTAAGAATTAAGACCTGATAGCTTTGGGAAATGATTTTTTAGCGTACCACACAAATTTAATAGTCACAAACAAGTATCATTTTTCCTCCTTCCTCTATATTCTGAAATTTTGCAATTTAAGATACAAAAGTATGTGGTCTAAAAACACAGCCTTAGAGAATCAAGAAGGTGAATTCATCCTAGACTTAAACCAACCAAATGATATTTATAAGGAATATATCATAAAGTGATCAGCTTTTCTATGCATGTATCACCACATTTTCAAAGACATAGCATATAAGTTTCTACCAGAAATGT